CGCCTGGCCCCGCAGAGGCAGCCCTGTCCCCTCTGCTGTTCAGCAGAGTCCCTCCCAAGCGAGTAGTGCCTCCTGTGGTGCTTCTGCAGCGGCACCAAGCTTTGTTCTCCTGTACGCAGTCACATTGTCTGAGAATCTCGGTGTAATTTACAAGCTTACATAACTTCCCCAATGAGTCAGCATGCTCATCAAGACAGTTGCACAGTGGAGTGGGAAAAAAGGGGCATCTGGTGCCAGGTAGAACAAGTTCAATTTTTTCATCTGTCGCTTCCTAACTGCGTGTCTAGACAAGTTATTCTACCTCTAACAGCCTGCTTCTTGATCTTTCTAACAGGGAGGAGTACCGTACCTACCTGGGAGGGTTATTAGAAAGACTGAGCAAGCCAGGAACACTCGGTGCTCACTTTCCTGTGCTGACATCCTGGATCCTGATGTATGCCCCTGCCAGCATGTTCTTGAACCTTACTGACCTGCAGCAAGCAGAAAATGCTGATTTATCTCTGTCTGCTTTTTCTCATCTGTGAATTTTAGATAGAAGCCCAAAGCAGTCTTTTGTAAAAGGAGGGTGCTCTGTTCTACTCTGAACAAAGCAGACACCTTGTGTGGGAAACTCATCAGTGCCAGCAAAGGCCATGGTGCTCTGGGGAGGGCCAGGCCACACAGGCTGGCTCACTGCAGACTGCAGAGAGAGCCAGAGATTGCTGGCTTTCAGAGACAACCTTGGGGAATACAGCAAAGAGACAGACAACCAGAAAAACAAAATGGGCAGGAGAGGATGTGGGAACTGAAGGAAAGGATGCTTATGGCAGTGGGGAGCACACAAAGAGGCAGCATCCAAATGAAGATGCTGCTGGCCGGGGAGGGGATGATTCTGGAACTGTTTTGTTTTGTTTTGTTTTTCAAAGTGTTTGGAACAAATGCTTGCAAGTTAAAAAAAAAAAAAAAACAAGTCTGTGGTCAGCAAAAAGCACCACTGCAAATGCTCTACCCTGCTGCTTGCAATGTTATTAAGGCAGGATTAGCAGGTGCACTCCATTCCGGGAGCCTCAGAGCCAGCAAACACAGGCTACACACACAGCATGGGGTTGGCAGAGAGAGACAGTTCAGGGGGTGGGTGGGCACTGTCCACAGAGCAAAGTGGCATCCGAAAGGAATGAAGAGCCAACCCCAGAAATGCACTCAGAAATGACAGGGTGTTGGAAGCAGAAAAGCTCTTTCATATCATCTTGCTGTTCCAGTGATCTTACATGCTATAAAATGACAGAACCAGGTTGGGAGTATAGTTCAGTGTAGAACACTTCTCTAGAATGCTGGAGACCTTAGGCTGGGTCCCCAGCACCAAAACAAAAACAAACAAAAAATCGCAGTGTCTGTCTTTCTTTGAAGTAAAATTTTAGGCAGTTTCTTCCTCTGCAACAAAAACCAACAAAAAGAAACCTAACCTTGGAGGATAAGCAGGTGTGATTTTGAGCCCTCACTTTGGAGCCCCACTGACCACAGTATGACAATCTCTCATCCATGTCACACATTTTATAAAGAAGGAAACAGGGGGAAGTGATTAGTCTAAGGTCATCTAGCAGAACTGGGACTAGACTTTAAGTTCCTTGTTCTCTCTCACTGTCTCTCTTTCTCTCTCTCTCAAAAGCCACCTCCTCTTTGAAAAATGTTTTTTAAAGATGAAGTCATCCCGTGAAATAACTCAATTAAGGTAAATGAGAGAGCCAGCAGCATCCAAGCATAAACACTGGTTTTGGATAGAGTCCAATTACATCTTCTGGTCTGCTGGATCCAAGTACAGCTTCTTATTAGATTTCTTTTTAAGGCTTTTAGCATGACAGTCACAAAATCTAAGATTTATTATGTTAATGGTCTCTTTCTAACCAATTGCAGCTAACCAATTTGCATCTGTTAGAAAATAGCAACTTAAAACAGTAACTACAACATCTTGGTGTCTTTTTAAAAAGTTGCCACAATAAGAAGTGATCTGAAATGTGTGGCAGACAGAGAAGCCAAATCAAAACTCTCAAACAAGGGAGCACAAAGGCATTTCAAACACAAAGGCACTCTTTTTCCAATTTGTAAGACATTGGGCAAGTCACAAACTCTCTGGATCTCAGTATTTTTTTAACCTACAAAGTGATAAAATTATTAAAGCCATTAAATAAAGCTGGTATTCAACAGAATCCTGACACAGAACTCTCCAGTGAGCAGGGTCAAGGTGGCATTGGGCCTATTAAATATGCAATAGAAATCTCATTCCCCAAGGGAAAGGACCTAGTGGTACAGTTACTGTGGAGGAGAAACTAGTGGCCACATGGGGACAGCTTTGGGATAAATGAGAGAGGAAAAAAGAATTAGAGAAGTGCAAGCTCCAGAGAACCAGGTTTTGGTGGTAGCTTCCCTATACATTTATGTGACACCTTTTACTCCAAGATCCTGAAAATGACCAAGATAAATGGTACATGCATATGAAGAAAGGTCTAGGCATAAACCAAAATGTTGACAGTGTCTTTGCTGGGTTGTTCATTATCAATGTCCTGAATTAGTTCCTTCCGTCCTTTCCTCTTGCTTTTCTGCTTATCTGTATTTCCTAAACAGTGTATCTTAGCTGTGTATACTGTGTTTCCTTCACTAGAAGGTAACCTCTGCAGAGATTTTTTTCTCTATTTTATTCATTGCTATGTTCCCAGTGCCTGGCACTTAAAAGTTGCTGAGGAATAAATTATTGGGCTAATATTCAGAAAAAAAATTATAATTGGAGGTAACATAGATCATGCTTTCAAGCAGTAGCTTTTTTTTTTTTTTTTTTTTTTTTGTCTTTTTCATTTTTATCGGTACCAGGGATCGAACTCACGACTGCCTGCTAGCAAGGCAGGTGCTTATGCCACTGAGCTAAGTCCCCAGCCCCTCAAGCAGTAGCTTTCATCTTTTTTTTTTTTTTTTTTTTTTTTTTTGTCTTTTTTGTTTTTATCGGTACCGGGGATCGAACTCACCACTGCCCGCTCACAAGGCTTGCACTTATGCCACTGAGCTAAATCTCCAGCCCCCGCTTTCATCTCTTTAGACAGAAGTCTACACAAACAACATTTTTAAGTGCAATATCACAGTACATAAATCAACTTACACATGTATGGCATACATAGCAAAAATGTCATAAAATAATGCTTATTACCACTCATGATACATTTGACATGTTTAATTCTCTTCTATTTTATTTACTGACCCATTTCATTTATTTCAGGACTCACTAACAGGTTAAGATCGGTGATCCAGAAGAGCTGTCACCTCTAAGCTTGGTATGGTGGCCTTGTAAAGAAAAGCATGGAGGAGAAAATGGAAAATGGTCTCTTTGTACCTAATTTTGCAATAGGTTAGTTAGAAGCCTGAACTTAGCAAGGCAGGTGGAGTGGCTCATGGTCACCTGTGTTCTCCAGGTCTTCCTCAGAAGGGTGTGAGTAGAGGCATGTGACCATCTCATCACTGTACAAGAAGAACATGGGACTCAGGAAGGAAGCATGGCTCCCCACCACACCTTCTGTGTGCAGGCATAATTCCCAGAGCCAATGCTTTAGCTTGATCCATCTGTGAACCTTGAAGTTGGGATGGAGATCACTGGGCAAGAATTAGATTCCTGCTCTACCACCAATATAATATGGCCAAACTCCTTTGAACCTTGATTTCCTTACCTGTAAGATGGGGAACTGGCCAAGATGCTAACCGAGACTAGTACCATCCCCGAAAACTGATATTTTAGGAATAAGATAACAGTGACTTTTACTATACCCCTTGTTATGGTTTGTGTTCAGATGGTCCCAAACCTCATGCAGTCATGAAGGCAGCTGAGTCTAGCATCTGTGATTGGTTCACTGTCTGGCACTGGGATTGGTGGTGTCAGGACTGTACCTCCCCAGAGCCAGGTAATCAGCATACAATATAAGGGAGGGAAGGTTGTGTGATTTAAGGGAGTAAAGACAGCATGATTTTCCTCTTTTGCCATTTTTGCTCTTGTTGCTTGCAGCTGTCATAAACAGTTGCCCCTCAGCCATGCCACAATGCCTTGGAGCCAGTTGAGTATGGACTGAAACTTCTAAAACATATAACCTAAATAAACCTTTTTTTTTTTTTTTTTTTTTTTGCCTCCCTAGGGGCATCAGGTATTCTGTCTCAACTATGAAAAAAAGTAACCAATTTGGTACCAGAGGAATGAGGTTGTTGCTGTGATTATACCTGACCATGTGGCTCAAGAGCCTTTGGAACTGGCTGGTGGAAAAAGTTTGGAAAGGTTCAGAGATGTCACCTGAAAGAATGGTGCTGGGACAGCTTAGGCTGTTCTGTAGGGGAGATTCTGGTCAGAGCTCAGGAGGCCAGAGGCTGTTACAAAGCCCGGCAGTAAAGACCGGGCTCAGGAGGTTTCTGCTGGGAAAAAGGACTACACTGGTTTCTGGACTCCAGACATGTATTATGGCTTGGCAGAAGGTTTGTTTGCATTTTGCTTGTGTCCAGAGATTTGCCTGAGACTGACTAATCTGGAAGAAGACATTCCAAGGCAGCCAGATGTTGAGGCAGTGGCATGGCTGTTGTTGGGAGTTTTTAGCCAGACTTACGTTGCAAATCAATCACAAAGAGTCCAGAAGGGTGATTTAAAACATTGTAAGTTTGGCTAGAAAGCTGTGGACTATAAAGATAGAGTTGAGATCTTCATTGCTGAGAAGGAATTTTACAAAAAGATGGCCTGCAGGCATCACAAGAAGAAGCAGCAGCAAATCCCCACCATATTTAGCCTCAAAACTGCAAAAGTGAAAGATTTTGCTTGGAGGAGAAAGCTGCAGAGCACCATGCTCCAGAATGGCAGCAGAGGCTGGGCCTGCCTGGTACATGGTAGGAGATCAATATGCATTCACTAATGCATTTAACTGAAGGAAAGGATCAGGTTGAACCCTAGATCTCCCACTCCCAGCTGAACTCATACAATTTATTAAAAATAATCCTTATTTCACCAGTGTTTTAGCTCTTTATTTACAATATAGTTAGAAGCATTATGAGTTTGGGCTCCAAACAATAGCTACATTAGTTGTCAAGTTCCCATCCTTGGCTGAATCTATAATTAAAACAAATTTTGCGACATAGACATATTCCTTGGTTCCAAAAGTATGTAACATTCACCCAGAGGAATAGACTTGGAGAATAACACAAGACTAGAAAATATCTTATCATTCTCTAGAATCTTTGCCTTCCCTGGTCACCTTGACCTATTACAGAACAAGAAGGTATTTTTTTAAATGAGTAAAGACAAATTTTCACAGGTAGACATACATACACTTGCGTAGTTTTTCCACAGTGCTTCTTTGTTTCTCCACAACACATCTTAGAAATAAAACAAATTTTGACTCAGTGGTACACAATGATAACAGTGTATTGCAGTTTCTGTCCAGGATTGGAGGAAGATACGAAACGAAGGACATATCAAGCAATTTAGTGGGGCAGCACGCTGAGGCCTGCTGGGAACTCTCCCTGCTTACTGTCTCTGGACATTAAGGCAGAGCTATTGGGTGGTTCTGAAAAAAAAAAAAAGCAGGCATTTAAAAAATTGTCCTCATCTTCCTCATTCAGAAATAGTTTTTCTCTAAATTGTCAGCCCAGCTGCACTTGCCTGTGGCTTCAGCCACCCCAGGATAGTGTCCTAAAACTTTTCAGTTATATGCCTATCTATTTCTTCACTGCTCTTCTTTTCCTAAGCATTTACTGAGTGTGCTCTGGGCTCAGTCTCTGCAAGGGGCTGTGTGGGCTCCAGAGGGAAAGAGCACTAGACTCTGCCTTTCCTGGGCATTGTTGATAATAAGCTTGAAACTCGGGTGTGAGGGTGAGTCAGCTGAGCTGATGATTTACCTATTATCACCTTCCTAGTCTGCCACTTCCTGAGATCTTGGGGTCTTTCTTTTTTGTTGCTGTGGCCTGAAGAGTGTGATTCTCTCTTATTTCCCTCTGCACAGGGGGTCACCATGACAGCAGCAGCTTGCAGCCCTCCTGCTGTGACTGGAACAGCCCCCACTGTTACCACAGGCAGTGTGACCAACGAGGTGTCAACTTTGTACCGGTGGCCTAATGGCTGGTGTGGAAGATGCAGGATGGCTCAGCATTGTGGTCTACTCTCTATCTCTGTCTCCTGTGCTGTCTCCAACCCTCACTGATTCTACTCTATTCTCATCCAAAATGATAATTTTTATTGAATGGAAGTGGGCCTGGCTCTCCCAGGGCCTAAATATTTTTACATTCTCCTGTTTCCTGCTGTGTTTCCCTCTATAATATTTATTGTGCTTCAGGTCTTATTTTTTTAAGTAATAGTTTCAGGGAGATGTAATTTGTATACTTAGGATTCACTCTTTTGATGTGTACAATTCAGTGGCTTTTAGATTATTCACAGAGTGGTACAACCATCAATACTAATTTCAAAACATTCCTATAGCTCCAGGAAGAAATCCCCCCCCCCCTTTTTTTGAGACAGGGTTTCACTGTGCAGTTTAGGCTGGCCTGAAACAATTCATTTTATAGCCCAGACTGGCCTCAAATGCACAGCAGTCCTCCTGCCTCAGCCTTCTGAGTGCTGGGATTACAGGCACATGTCCCCCACACCCAGCAGAAATTCCATTCTATTAGGAACCAGCCCCCAATTCCTCTCTTCCAGGATTGGCTAGTCTTTTTTATTTCTATGGATTTACCTATTCCAGACATTTCACATAAATGGAATAAATGGGTATTTCATATTGAAAGAGTTTTGGCCCAGACAGGACTCTAGCCAGAAAAGCCTCGGCTGGAACCAAAGAGCTCCATCACCCCTACCTCCAGGAATTTACCTGTGACTCTATCTCCCCCACCCTTCGGAATCTGCCCCTGGTGCCAAACGAGTGCCAATGAGATACCTGTGCATCTCTAATGGCCCTAGGGAACTACCCAAAGCAAGAAAGCCGACTCCAGTGGTGGTGTGTGTGTGTGTGTGTGTGTGTGTGTGTGTGTGTTTTCTCTCTCTGCCTCTTTTGTTTTATACTTTTTGGACGCACTATAAAATCTTATCACATATAAACACACAATGTGGTCTTCCTAGCATTTAGGGTCATCCATGGTCATCAATACTTCCTTTTTATGATTTAATAATCTTCCATAATGCAGATAGGCGTAGCAGACAGCTAGCTGGTTTATTTCCACCTTTTGGTTATGCTGTATAATGGTGTTGTGAACATTAGAGTATTGGGTCTGGGTGGACATAGGTTTTCAGTTGTCTTGGGTATTGATAGAACTGTGGGGGACCAGCGGCAGCTGAAAAGATAAGAAGTATGAAATATAAATTACCTTTATTTTGAGAATGCGGGGAGAGACACCCCCGACCACCTGAGGTGCGCCATCTCCACCCCAGGGTCTCTCCCCAGGGTCTCTCCCCAGGATCTCCCCAGGATCTCACCCCAGGATCTCTCCGTGGCACATAAGTAGCCTCAGCTCAGGGTGGAACCTAAGGGGGGCATTAGGGATGCACAGGTAGCCCATTGGTCTTTGTTTGGCGCCAGAGGTAGATTCCTAAGGGTGGGGGAGATAGAGCTCCTGGCTTTACCAGCTACAGTGTCTGGCCTGGGCCCAAACCCTTTCAGGTATATGCCTAGGAGTGCCACGCTAAGCTGGCCCAGACCCTAAGGAAACATTTCCAGCACTCTTCATTTCCTAGGGTTTGCTCATATTCCTTAAACCAGTGGGAATGACCATCCACAGAGACTCCTTCACCAAGTTTCTAAGCCATCACTTGCTTTTCTAAGTTGAATACAGGTCCAAGCATCCCCATTCCAAACAATATGCAGCTTTGAGTGGCAGTAGGGGGCTGAGGACAGGGACAAGTAGCTGCAGGGACTGCACATTCAACTGTGCTGCCCCGAGAAAGGTGTGCAGAGCCAGCCTCTTCAGCCCCGGCTTTAATTTAAAAGCAAACAAAATTTTACATCACAGAGCTGGTTATCTGAAATCTAGTCTTTTTCAGCCTACCAAGAACCTTAGGCTGTGATGTCTGGTCATGTGTACAGGCCCGAAGTAGGTCTTTTCACCACTGAATAAATAAGCAGTTTACAATCTGAAATCCTCCATTTCCCAGCCCCGTGCTGCAGTCTCCCATTTATAACCGAAGCCTGTCCCCTGCAGGCCAGAAGCAGCCAAAACCTACAATGGCAGAATCTGGGCAGATTCCTTCTAAAATTTGGATTGTTTCTCCAGGAGCATTTTATAAACTGCTTTAATTTATTCGGATAGATCAATGTAGAATAATAGCATCTTCTACAGAGCATTCTTCCTGTGTTCTTTAATATTTGTGGGATTTTTCCTCTTAAACAGAAACAAAATTGGGCCAATTTCAGTGATCTATGAGCCACTTTGGTTTGCAGTAAATAACACTTATTTGTATTTACGCAGTGTCTGCCAAGTTCTCTCTGTCCCTATCCAACGGAGAGTCACCACAATGCTTTTGACTGGTCGAAGTGTACAAGGGCTCTTCAAGGTAGGAGGTGATACAACGTGTGGGTGAGTGAGCTCAGCTGGCTGGTGATTTTTCAGAAGTGGTTTGCAGACTGAATGTTGAGCAAAAGAAATCCTTAGACCTCTGCGGAGCACTGGACCCTGGGGTCCGGTTTCTGCCCTGTTCTTCCAGGTCAGCACCCAGACCAGGGAAGCAGATCCAGGAGGAGGGATGGGCAAGGGACAGTGCGAGCAAAAAGCTGATGGAAGGATGAGAGGAAAGGGTGAGGAGAGCCAGGGAGGGAGGGCAGACCAGAGGCAGAAATGGTGCCCCAAGGCTGAGCAAGTAACAAGGGACCTAAAGTACTGGGGGCGATTTCCCTGGGTCTGCTACTGCTCTCCAGAGGGTAATTAACTGTGAGGTTTGCTCTGGCTGGTTCACAAAGCCAAGGGAACCCCTTCTAAAGTTTCCTTTCAGAGACCTTGACAAGAAGCCCGTCCCGCTGCGTTGATGTTTTAGGAACCACCGAGCCCTCTTTGCAGTAAGCACACATCCTAGCCAGAGCGTTTGCCCCGCCCCCGCCCGCCCAGGTGATGCTCGGGGACAGCCAGAGTCGGGGTGGCTGCCTGGGGCCCCAGCCGGCCTCCTCACCGACCCAGAGCCGCTTCTGGCGGGTAACTACTCTGTGCATCGGCCTGGGCTGCAGACTCCTGGACCCCTGTCTTTCTGGTCCTTCCTCCGTCTGCAGCCCGGGTCCTCAGAGCTGGCATCGTCTCCTGCCTCAGGCCTTCGTAGCTCCGAGCTCGTTCACTTTAAGAACGCCAGGTTTCTGCTTATATTTTTGATCCATTTTTCATGCCTCTATTTGTAACCTGAGCAACTACTTTGAAGATAACAATATGCAATATATTAACCATGGTTAATTCTCTATTAGCTTGTTTTGAAGTTCTGTATCATTTATTGTTTTTTTTTCTCAAGAAAGACAGACAGACCGACAGACCAGGGCTGCCTGACCCTGATTATCCCTGGGCCTGGCGCACACCAGCGCCGCCGTCCTCCCTCCCGGAGGTAAATTCCTCCTCTTTATGCAGAACCGGAAGAGACCTCCTGCAGGGGAGGGGAAAAGAAAGAGGGGGTGCGCCTTCGCAGGACGTTTGGGGCCCCGCCGCCCGAGTGCGGCCTGCTTTCCCCCAGTCCCGAGGGCCCGTTTAATTCCACAGTCACTTTTAAGGGAAGAAGACAAAAGGACAAACGAGATCCCTTTTCAGGCCTTTCCGCAGCACTGTTTCACGTGGCGCGTGTTCGTTGAATGCTTTTTCAGTTCGGGGCGGGGAGGGGGCTCATCAGCATGGATCTGTGTGGACTGTCCCCTCCCTCCCCCCGGGCCTTAGGACCTTGACAGGCAGGGCGTTCAGGGTTTGGCGGCTTTGAAGAAACCAAGAATTAAGGATTATTTTTTTAAGGCGCGGGGTGGGGGTGGGGCGGGGCTGCTAAAGGGTTACGTCATCGTTTTCCTCCTGGGATCCGGAGGGCGAGGTTCCGAGAGCGGCCGGCAGGGTGCGCTCGGGCCGTGCGGCAGAATCCCGGCGCGCAGGTCGCCGACTGCCAAATCCCGGACACAAAACAAAGAACGTTTGTGGCCCTGAACCTGGCAGGCTTCGGCCTGTCCCCGGGTGCCAGCTAGCGTCCTCCAGGACGCCGTCTTAACAAGCTTCCTGGGCTTTCTCGCTAGAGCCCAGCGGCTTTGTCTTCCGTTTCCCACCTCTGCACTATTTCTTTGTGTGCATCCTTTTGTCCCCCAGAATTTCTCTGCCCTGCCGGGGCTCCGATCGGTACCTATCAATACAAGTTAATGAACAATATGAGGAGATGAGCTCGGAAAGATTGAAGGCCCGAGCACCAGCTCGCGCTGTAAACAAAAGGCTAACGGCCTCCGCTTGGCTGTGCATCTTGGCTCTCAAGATGCCAAGTCCTTGTCCTTGCGGGGCGCCCTTGCCACCCCAGTTTTCCTGCTGCCTGTCCTAGCTTGCTGCAGTCCGCGGGCCTCCGGGGTGTCTGCCTCCTGATCCGCTGCACAATCCCTCCCAGGGTCACTTACAGGACATGCCTACACCACAACAGCCATACTAATATTACTGGACCGTGGGGGGGGGTGCGGGGGGAGTCTTTGTTTTGTTTTCTGAACAGGACAGCCCCCTCATTTCTACAATGTACCGGAATTTAGGATGAGAGACTCAAGAAAGGAACTGCAGAGCCAAGCCTCACCCTGAGCCTGCAGTTTCTCGTCCTCCCGTAGGCAGTTTCTCTGGTCAGTCTGGCCACTCTTGCCAGGGAACCTTTCTTTAGGCAGAGGGATTTTCTCTTGGGGATCATTTTCATTGTCATTTTATCCAAATTGGACTTTGCTTATCACTGTGGCTGTATACCTCTCAACCCTTGAGGAGAATGGGATTTAAATTCTCTTGTGGGCTTTTAGGCCCTGGAGAAATGACCAGACAAACTTCTGGGTCCTTAACCTATTGTTCAATAAAAACATGATTTGTGTTTTCTGAGGCTTAACAGTGGTTTCTGCTAAAATCTGTGACTTTTCACTACAGATGCTCAATATATTACTAAAAAGAAAACAAAGCGTGACCTTCACTTTTTATCTGTTAATACCTCAAAACTTTGGGGACAGGTACATTAGTCATTTAGAAAAAGTAGGCAGAATAACGTTTACTAGCCCGACATTTACCTAGTATCTCAACCCTCTTGAAGACTGAAGGCACCAAGATAAAAAATAATTAAAATAATTTCCAAGGGTCACAGGGACAGCCACTACCAGCTGTCTTGGTCATTTTATTTTTCACTGGTTCACAATATCTTATACTCACAATTTAAAAGAGAAGAGGTTTGGGCTGGGGGTTTAGCTCAGTGGCATAAGTGCCTGCTTGGCAAATGCGAGATCATGAGTTTGATCCCTGGAACCAAAAAATTAAAGTTAAAAAAGAGAAGAGGTTTATATTGTCACATTTCATTCCATAACCAACTGGCTACAAGGCGGGAAGGTACAACAGAGGGGCGTGATATGGGGAAAGAAGGGAAGAGCTAGGGAGGGAGATTAACCCTTCCAGGCCCCAGGCCCAGTGGCCCACCGATTCCGACCTCTCCAGGCCCCACCACCTAGGAGCATATTTAGCTATAACCTCGTCAGTCGACTAATCCAGGGATAAGTATAGTACTCTCATGACCCAATCACCTCCTAAAGGCTTACCTATGAAGGCATGAGGCTTTAGGGGATATCAATATACAAAGCACAATACCAGGTCTTACAACTTCTGGTCCCACACACCTCTCCACTTGGAGCTATACTTAGAAGTCTCCAGCCATTGTCTCAATCCTATAATCACCTGGATACCAGGACAATTGGATCCTTACAGGGCTCAGCCTGCCACAAAGATAGTAATTTCACAGGGCCCAGACTATAGCATTCCTTTAGCCCTATAAGACCAGAAATGAGATCTCCATCAGCTGGACTCCCAGTCACCACTTACCCCATAAAGCTGGTTTCCATTCCTTTGCATGGAAGAGCCAATCTGATCCTCTTCATCAGAGATATGTTACCGCCAGCTGCTCAAGCCAGAGTCCTTTCCCTGTCGTCTCTCTTACTTTCCAATTAAAGTTTTTGCCTATAATTTTATACCATTGTGGAGTGTCAACTTCCATTGTCACTAAAGCAAGTTCTCATGCTTGCAGGTGACAGAATCAAGACGTGTGACTAAGCCTGAAAGATGACCAAAGGTGGTTTTGCCTGGAGCCCACAGACGGCTCTGGGGAAGAGATGCACAAAGGGAGCCAAACTCAGTTCCAGATCCAAATACTGCTGCTCTGGTGGTCAGGGTGCCGGAGTCTCCTGATTGCTAGTTTTCATGCTCCCTGTCTCCAAATTAATCCTGTTCTATTTACATGCCCATTATTTTTCAGGTCCTAGTTATATGTGAAAGGAAGAGACTAACATCCCATCTGATAGGACATGTAGGCTTCTTTTGCTTTCTCCTGATGTCAAGGAACTTAGCAGCGATGTGATCTGATCACACCTCTCCCTGCTGTGCTCTGTGCTCAGTAGCTGCTATCATTTCTTAGTTCCAGGACCTGATTAGACCATGTTTAAGACCAAGGTAAGGAGTAGGATGCAGCAGGCAATGTGATGCAGTTCAGCATTTAAAAACACTTTCCACTTGCTTATCCTCAGCAGGCCTTGGCCGTGCAGAGGCTGAAGGAGACACAGGCTTTGTACCCAGGGAGCAAGTGCTTCCCTTGCACAGATCTATTGTATCTCTGAGGAGGACTATAAATGAAACTGCGGCAGACAAACCTGCTGCTGCAAAACACTAGCATCATTAGGCAGGCTGCCTTTGCAGTGCCATCTATAATCTTCATGAGTTCCAGAACCAAAAAAAAAAAAAAAAAAAAAAAAAGGTTGCAGTATATTCCTTTCTAAATTAAGCTTTGCATTACTTTGGAAACTAACCAAGCATTCCTTCACACAGACTCTGTTCCCAAATTAAACATTTTGTGCTTATACAGCTGCTGAGATGCTGGTTTCTTTCTTAGGTGAGTTGCTGGCAGAGTCGAGCCCCATGGGGAGAAGGAGCTATGATCAGGGAGCAGACATCACAGAAAGCTGGGCAGAGTGTGATGAAATAGGCAAGTGGAAAAATATTTCTAAAATTACTAGGTCTGGATAAGTGTAGGTTAAGAGGGCTCATTATGGTCAAATATTTAACAGCATACTTTCAAGTGGAAATCTTGAGGTGTGGCTAATCTCCATTTCTGGAGGAGCCAGAGAAATGAAAGTGAACTGCCAGTGGGGTGTCTAAAGGTTGCCCAGAGGGCCACTTGTCAAGATTTGATGGCTGAGATCAAATCAAAGGTGGAAGGTTTTCCTAGCATACATGAGGCCCTGGATTCCATCCCTGGCATTGCCAAAAAAAAAAATCATGATTTGACAGCAGTTAACAGTGGAATGGGTCAGAGACAATGGCTAGAGCCATTTATTGAAAGAACAAAACCTTTATGCTCAGAAATGCTGCAGGTAGCACTCAGCTAGAACCCAAAGCATGACCTGAATGAGCTAACTTCCCAGGTTGTTTTCTAGATTGGAAAACAAACAAAAAAAAAGTTCTCACAACTTTCCAGGCCCTTCACAGTAGCTGGAGACAAATGCACAGATGAAAGCCCCCACGGATGCACGGAGTTCCCACCCAGCCACTTGCATTATTCATCTCGTGAGCTTGTACCTACCTTGTTCATTTTCCAAAGGTGTGTGCCATCTTGGGAAATGACTTTTTAGAAAGCTCTTGTTTATGAGAATTTTCTCTGAAATATTTGGATTAGCTGCTAGAGACTGTCAATCTTCCTTTGCTAGCTGTTCTCAACTTATTTTTGGGTCTTTTCCACGGTTATCAGTTGTATGGCAGTAATGTAACTTGAAATCCAGTGGTTTGGACACCATTTCCACAGGAGTTGGCTGGAGGTAAGGAACAGAAATGGAGCTGGATCAGAGCAGCACGAGGAGGTCAATCACTCAGGGTTTGTTTCAGCCAGATAGTGATTTTTATAAAGCTAAGGGCCCTGCCTGCCACAGAGGACCCACAGAGGCTGAGAGCTGTCCTGGGCTCTCCGGGGCTGTTTCCCCTCATGGCTCCAAGGCACAGTCCCGAAAATGATGGTCTCTGGTCTTGGCTCTGCCTCAGTTTATCTGTCTGTCCCCTCCCTCTCAATTCCATTGTCTGAAAGTGGAAAATATTATTATAGACAGAAGCCCTGTATTTATCATTTTGTATGGTCCTACGTTTCAGTTCTATGTTCATCCACCTGTGTGATACTTTATGTTTTATAAAACACTCTCACAGGCACCCTAATGTATAAGTGGGGTGGAAATTATTCTCCCTGTTTCAGAAATTAAAACATAGGATCAGGGAAGTTAAGCAAAGTTTTTCAGTACTGGGGGTTGAATTTGGGACCTTTGCACTGAGCTACAACCCCAATTCTTAAAAAATTCTTTTTGTAGTATCAGTCAGATTTTTGCTAAGTCACTGAATTGCCCAGGGTGGGCTCAAATCTGCAATTGTCCTCCCTCAGCTTCCCAGAGTGCTGGGGGTACAGGTCTGTGCCACCTGCCCAGGATGAGGGTAAGCAATTAACTCACAGACAGCAAGAAGCAATCTAAGACCTCAGCCAGATCACTTGACTTGGAGTCTTTGTCCTTTTGGGGAATAGGAACCATTTTGCCTTTGAAATTGGGAGTTTATAGATCTTTTTCCCGGAAAAATTAACTTGTGGTTTTTATTTCAAACTGCCAGCATCATTTTTCATAAGGATTTCTTACATTTCTGCAAAAATAGAAAAGTCTTAAAATAGTCTACACAATTTTGATAAAGGAACAAAATTGGAGCTCCAACCCTCCCCAATTCCATGACTTGTCACAAAGTTACACCAATCAAGACAAAATGGCATTGACATCAAGATAGACAAACCACCAAAGTACCAATATAAAGTCCCCAAATAGATACCCACATAAAGGACAATAGATTTCTGGCAAAGATGCAAAAGCAATTAAGTGGAGAAAGGACTGCACCTTCAACAAATATACTGGGACACTGGATATCCACCTGCAAAAAGCCCAAACTTTACAGCACATCAAACATTTCTTAGGACATCCAAAAGTCAACTCAGAACGGTTCACAGTGGGTTAGTTAAAGTGAAGGCAGGTGCGCCCTAGTTGTTGCTTGTCTGAGTCATTCTCTCTGGGACAAAATACATGTTTTTTCCTCATCGTACTAATGAAACAATGCAATGTTTAGTAGGTTGTCTCTTCACTTTGCTGATAGTTTCCCTTGATGTGCAAAAGCTTTTCAGTAGATGAGATCCCATTTTTTGACTTTTTGAAATAAGTCCTGTGCACTCTGGGTTTTATTGATATAGTCTTGGCCTACACAATATTTTCAAGAGTTTTACCTAACTTATCTTCCAGCAAATTTAATGTTTCCATTTTAATATTAAAATCTTTAATCCATTCTGATTTTAGCTGAGTGTATGGTGAAAGATATAGGTCTAGTTTTAATCTTCAGCATGTGAAAAGCCAGTTTTTCCAACACCATTTTTTAAAGAGATTCTCTTCCAGTGAATGTGTTTGGCATCTTTGTCAAAGATAAGGTGGTTTAATGTGTCTGCAGTTATTTCAGAATCTTCTGATCTATTCCACTGATCTTTAGGTCTGTTTTTTTGTTTGATTGGTTTTGGATTTTTTCCAGTACCACACTGTTTTTATCACAATAGCTTTATAGTATAATTTCAAGTTAGGGGTTGTGATGCCTCCTGTCTTGTCTTTGTTGCCCAGGATCACCTTTGCTATTTTAGGTTGTTGTAGTCAGGGGTTATACACAGAGAACAACTAGGATTAGAACATGGAGTTTATAATATTTTTATAATAGTCACCAGAAGTTAACACAGGAAAATGCAGGGAATCTATCTGGAACACCAAAGACATGATTATTTAGTCAAGAGCCTAAACACCACAGCAATGTCCCACATGAGTCCAGATAAAAACCCAGAGCTCAGGACAATGCCTCCCATGAGTCCAACTGGAGGTCCAGAGCCCACAAAAGGACCAACACAAGTCTATTTTGCGGATCCATGCCGGGAAGACCCAAGGGTCAGCGGTGGAAACCAGAAAGTCTATGCCAGCAGGATGAAGGAGCTGTGCTAGTGGGATGAGGGTTCTACGTTGGAGCCAAGAAGTCACACTCACAACAAAGACAGGGGTGTCCTGAAAGGCACCACAGCTGTCCTCAGCAACATGGAGGCCCCGAGCTTCTCTGACGACAAGCACAGTTGGGTACGTGCCAGGAAGCAGTGTGATGAGTTCATCCAGGAGACCAAGCAGCACATGTCTTCCCCTCCGGAGCCAGGAAGCAATGCTCGATGTGAGGACCAGAGCTTCTCCAGGAGAACCAATGGCTCAAACAGCAACTCGTAGGAGAACCCACAGTGCCTCAATGCCTTAACCCAATAGCTTCCCCTTCTCCACATCTCTATTTATGCTGGCAACTTTCCTCAGATGGGACATCTATGCTCAGCATCATGCAGATGTAATCCAGCTGGGGTTAAGTTGACTACCAGTTTTTAATCCACAACAGCTCTGTTAATATGATATATTACATTTATGGATTTACATTTGTTGGAAAAGTATAGATCTTCTTCCCAGAAAAATTAACTTGTGGTTTTTAGATCCTTATACTTAATGTGGATGTGAAATCCCCTTGTGCTGCCCTCTTGATGCTTATAAATGTGCATGCATCTTGCTTTTTTGAACAGATTGCAGATTCTTTGGAGGTTCAGGCCACGTGTTTTCTTCTTCTTCCTCCAGCCAGTATCAGAGCCAAGCATCCAGCTGTTGCATTGCTAAGAAGAGGGAAGGGAAAGCTGCAGGGTGACTGTGGCTTGGTAGAACAGATGTCTCTTTCCACATTTGACCACTTGTTCTACAACTAGTATCCTTGTACACAGTCTGCATAGCGCTCTGTCCTCACCTCCCTAGAACATAGCACTATATCCCAGGGTGGCATTAGCAGCAGCTGAAATATCTCCCTCCTCAGCATGATTTTGCAGACAGAAGAGGGGCTTACAGATATGAGGTCATGGCCTAGCAGATCTCAGCCCTTGGAGCCTGATGTAAGGAAGAAGGCAGATCCACTGCCTTGGCTGCTGGAGTAGAGGAGAATTGGTAGAGTGGTTACTGTGGGTTTCAGTCAGGAGGGAGAGGCAATGCTGAAGGAGAGAACAGCCAGGCGTATCTGAACAAGGTTGCTAGGGACAACTGAGTGACAGTCAGGCAGCGGGAGGGGAGGCAGGCCAGCAGAAAGCACTAATAAGCCCAAGCCCAAGGCTTGGATGGATCCTCTGGCCACTTGCACATGCTTGGCACCAAGCCCCAGTGCAATCTTGCTTCATCTCCCCAACCTCTACCATCATCATCAACCATGACATCAGTCCTTTCACCGAGGACAGGAGCCAGAGAACACTGGGTAGCTATCCAGAGGCGAGGACTATTGACCCAGGAAATGCAGATGGCCCTGATTTAAGCCCTTCGACCATTATTGTCCTGCCTTCTTCCATTGTCCAGTTTCCCCATATTGATCTTCCCAAATGGGGCAGAGAAGAAAACGGATTCCAAGACTGTGGTAAGGAAGGCCACTTTCAGTAAAATAACATCATCCCAATACTCTTCTGATAGCCTCAATTGAGTTCTGCCTGCCAAAAATCTGATTAGTGCTCATCAGGAAGAAAAATCTGAATTGCATCCGAAAGAAGTCCGCACCCATCCCCACACTAAGGACTGTGAGAAGAGCCTAAGGTGATAGAATACTGGAGTCAGGGCGGGTCTGCAAAATTACAGATTGGTCCAACAGCCTCGCTGCTAGATGAGGGAGCCGCATGGCTATGACAGAGTCCAAGGCCACCCAGGAATTTATTGAAAAATCTGAACTAGGAGTCTTAAGCGTCGAAGGTTTCCAGTCCAGGGAAAATCTGAGCAGCCAAGGAAGAAAAGTTAGAATTTGCAACACTTCTTTGTGGAGTCAGCTGCTGTCTGGGACAACTCTGTGTGTGATAGCCATTCAAGGAGACTCTGCCCAACCGCCCTGAATCTACCTAAATTGCTGTTCAACAGTCCTTCTGGCTGCCATTTGCCAAACATTTACAAATGTTCCAAAAGTAAACCCAAAGATGGCAGCTCTTCTGCCCACCTTTTAGCTCACTGTTTTCAAAGGGTCCTTCAAATTTACATCCAATCAAACAAACATGTGAATCCATCAACAAATAATCAGTCCAAATAAACAAATATTCATTAAGCTCCAGTTGGAAAGACAATGTGCCTGGTAGTGATCTCAGTGAGAAGACAAACTGAGGCCAGAGATGGTGGTGCACACCTATAATACAAGTACTGTGAGAGGCTGAGCAGGAAGATTGCAAGTTCAAACCTAGCCTGGGCAACTTAGTAAGATCTTGTCTCAAAAAAATATTTTTTTGTATAAAAATTTAAAAATCAAAAGAGCTGAGGATGTAGCTCATAGTGGAGGTCCTATATTCAATCTTTAAGCCTCAGTAAGAAAGGGAGTAGGGAGAGAGAGATGGAGAGAGAGAAAGAGGCTAGTTCTTCACAGGCTAATTAGTAAGACAAATTATATTCAAAATTTCTATCACAAAGCAGCAATTTAAGAAGCTTCACAGCACAATAAATGGCTACTTGCAAAGTCACTAGATCAAAAGAACTAGTGAGTTAAACACTTCAGAGTTCATCAAAGAGGAAGAATTTGGTAGGACTATAAATGATAGAATGTAGAAGAATGAATAAAAGGGAAGAGCATTTCAGAAATTGGTAACTGAGGGGCTGGGGGTTTAGCTCAGTGGCATAAGTGCCTGCCTTGCAAGCAGGTAGTCGTGAGTTAGATCCCCAGTACTGATAAA